TTGTTGTCGTTGGCGTTGTCGTTGGCGTTGTTGTTGTTGTTGTAAACTTTTCACATTTTCATCTTCTTCTCAAGAACCACTGGTCCAAATTCAATCAAACTTGCCACAAAGCATCCTTGGGTAAAGGGGATTCAAGTTTGTTCAAATGAAGGGCCACGCCCTCTTTCAAGGGGAGATAATTAGGAATTAGTGAAAAAATAATGGCATCATTTAAAAATCTTCTTCTCAAAAACCACTGGGTCAGGAAAGATGAAACTTATGTGGAAACATCCTCAGGTAGTGTAGATTTAAGTTTGTTCAAATCATGACCCCCGGGGGTAGGGTGGGGCCACAATGGGGGATCCAAGTTTTACATAGAAATATATAGGAAAATATCTTTAAAAATCTTCTTCTTAAGAACAGTAAAGCCAAAATTGGTCATATTTATATGGAAGCATCCTCAGGTAGTGCAGATTCAAGTTTCTTCAAATCATGACCCCCGGGGGTAGGGTGGGGCCACAATGGGGGATCCAAGTTTTAGATAGAAGTATATAGGAAAATATCTTTAAAAATCTTCTTCTTAAGAACAGCAAAGCCGTGATTGGTCCTATTTTTATGGAAGCACCCTCAGGTAGTGTAGATTCAAGTTTGTTCAAATCATGACCCCCGGGGGTAGGGTGGGGCCACAATGGGGGATCAAAGTTTTACATAGAAATATATAGGAAAATATCTTTAAAAATCTTCTTCTTTAGAACAGGAAAGCCATGATCGGTCATATTTATATGGAAGCATCCTCAGGTAGTGTAGATTCAAGTTTGTTCAAATCATGACCCCCGGGGGTAGGGTAGGACCACAATGGGGGGGTCAAAGTTTTACATAGAAATATATAGGAAAATATCTTAAAAATTCTTCTTCTTAAGAACAGCAAAGCCATGATTGGTCATATTTATATGGAAGCATCCTCAGGTAGTGTAGATTCAAATTGTTCAAATCATGACCCCCGGGGACAGGGTGGGGCCACAAAGGGGGATCAAAGTTACATAGAAATATATAGGAAAATATCTTTAAAAATCTTCTTCTTAAGAACAGCAAAGCCATGATTGGACATATTTATGTGGAAGCATCCTCAGGTAGTGTAGATTCAAGTTTGTTCAAATCATGACCCCCGGGGGTAGGATGGGGCCACAATGGGGGATCAAAGTTTTACATAGAAATATATAGGAAAATATCTTTAAAAATCTCCCCCCCCCCCCTCCCTGGGATAGGATGGGGTCACAATGGGGGATCAAAGTTTACAGAGGATTATATAGGAAAAAATCTTTTTCTCAAGAACAGAAAAGCTATGATTGGTCAAATTAATATGGAGGCATCCTTGGGAGTGTAGAATGAAATTTGTTCAAATGAGGGCCCCCGGAGGTAGGGTGGGGCCACAATGGGGGATCAAAGTTTTACAAAAGAATATATGGGAAAAAAATCTGCTGCTCAAGAACAGCAAAGCCATTTGTTATATTGATATGAAAGCATCATTAGATAGTTTAAAATTCAACTCCCCCCCCCCCCCACCCCACCCCACCCCAATGTAAACTTTTCAATACTAAACTGATTTTTTTTTTTTTTTTTTTCCTAGCCAATGTGCTCAGGTGAGCGATGTGGCCCATGGGCCTCTTGTTAATTTAATCAAGGCTATTTATTAATAATTATATATGAATTATTTCATTCTTTGAGCCATTTAATAAAAGGCTGAAACAATGACAAATTTCATTGTTAATTTGTTACTATATATAACCTTTCTTTGACAATCATTACTAATGATTACGGAGACCATTGCTCATTTTCACTTTCAAAATTACTACAAATATCTCCTTTATAATAATTGATGGGTAGCAGTTTATCATGAATCAGTTAGTAGATGGGATAATTTGACCTGTGGCCGGTTACCAGTTGTGGTGGGTAATGATAATAGAGAGGTTTAGCAAACCAATGTGTACGCGTACGTGTAGCAGGGGATTCCCCCAGGAAATCTGTGCGTTACGTCATCAGTTTTGCTAATGACGAATTTCTACACGTATCCACTTACGTGTAGATTACCGAGTACACGTAAGTCCAAACTTGTAGCCTATATTTCTTTAACTGCTGTTTATTTTTTAAAAAGTGTGCGTTTTCCTAAAACCTGAAGATTTAATGCTAATACTGATATAAAGAACAAAAGTCTATAATTGAAAAATATAATTTTATAGAGTGTTAAATATACAACATCTCGACTTTCAAAACAAGCTTTGACGGTTCAAAATTATAAGAGCTCTTTTCATTCTTTTTCTTATGAATATTATACAATTATGGACTCTTTCGATGGTGAATATGGTTTGTTATTCACCAGAAAAATATCAATATTGACCGAGGCGAAGCCGAGGTCAATATTGATATTTTTCTGGTGAATAACAAACCATATTCACCATCGAAAGAGTCCATAATTGTTTTATTATATAGTCAGAATTTGAATGAATAAGACAATGAAGGCTGCCTGACGATTCAATTTTCATTAACGAACTTCTGTCATAGAAAAATAATCAAATGTCCAGATTACAACCTATATCTTCCGTGTTTTCCCTTCACTGTGTGTAAGACATCGAAATGTTAAGAAAATAATCCTGCCATAGACTAGCGAAACAATTTTTCCTGCTCAAATATTCAGCTAGCTCCGACCGTTGCAACCATTGTGCTCAACGTTGCTTGAGGTATTGATTGTGACGTCACAATACCACTGCACGCGCACTGACCCTCCGGTGAATATGGCTTCAAATCTGGTGAATATGTAGTGTTATGAACTGTTTGCGTTTGTATAGATTATATAGGGGCTACTTATAGACTATATAATAAAAGCATATATTCATTTAAAAGGGTGATATGCATATAAAATTTAATGTGTTTTCTATTTTTTTTAATGTTAAGCACTTTTACGTTTAAAACACTTACAAGTACACGTACAATTTATACTTTGCAAAACGAGAAAAATAATGTAAACGTGTACGTGTAATTCTAACTTGTAGTTTACACGTACATGTACACGTACAAGTGAGCTTGCTAAACCTCTCTATTATTTTGCGGGTGTGAGCCACAGAATGTGAAAGGGGTGGCAAGTATGCTTTTATTTAAGGAAGCTGCTGTATAAGTGATCTAGCTCCATGATTCTTGAAAAGATTTTAAAATCCTACCCCAATTTTTACTATTAATTATTTTCCTTCATAAAACATTGTGACCCTTTGAATATCCAGCAGAGTTGAGGTAGCTTAGTTAAAATTGATCCAATGATTGTAGTTAAAAAGTGATGTTCAAAAACGTAAAAAAGTGGACATGGTTGGAGCCACAATAGGTGATCAAAATTTTTAGAAATAGTGGACTTTCTCAGTAATGCTACAAATTGTTGATAAAAATTATTTTATTTTTAGCTCACCTCGACGAAGTCGAGATGAGCTTATGCTATACCCCCGGCGTCGGCGTCGGTGTCGGCGTCGGCGTCGGCGTTAGCGTCGGCGTCCCAGGTTAAAGTTTTAGGAGCAAGTCCCATTCCCAAGTAACTATAAGCCCTACCTGGACCAAACTTGCATGGATGATGCATCTAGGGATGGACACTACCAAACTTGCTTCGGATGCTGGATCTGACCTAGATTTTCCAGATGAGTGACCAGGTTAAAGTTTTAGGAACAGGTCCATTCCTTAGTAACTATAAGCCCTACCTGGATCAAACTTGCATTGATGATGCATCTAGGGATGGACACTACCACACTTGCTTCGGATGCTGGATCTGACCTAGATTATCCGGATGAGTGACCAGGTTAAAGTTTTAGGAGCAGGTCCATTCCCAAGTAACTATAAGCCCTACCTTGACCAAACTTGCATGGATGATGCATCTAGGGATGGACACTACCAAACTTGCTTCGGATGCTGGATCTGACCTAGATTTTCCAGATGAGTGACCAGGTTAAAGTTTTAGGAGCAGGTCCATTCCCAAGTAACTATAAGCCCTACCTTGACCAAACTTGCATGGATGATGCATCTAGGGATGGACATGGCCACACTTACTTCGGATGCTGGATCTGACCTAGATTTTCCAGATGAGTGACCAGGTTAAAGTTTTAGGAGCAGGTCCATTCCCAAGTAACTATAAGCCCTACCTTGACCAAACTTGCATGGATGATGCATCTAGGGATGAACACTACCAAACTTGCTTCGGATGCTGGATCTGACCTATATTTTCCAGATGAGTGACCAGGTTAAAGTTTTAGGAGCAGGTCCATTCCCAAGTTACTATAAACCCTACCCGGACCAAACTTGCATGGATGATGCATCCAGGGATGGACACTACCACACTTGTTCAGATGCTGGATCTGATCTAGATTTTCCACATGTGAGACCAGGTTTAGATTTAGGAGTAGTCTCATTCCCAAGTAACTATAAGCCCTACCTGGACCAACCTTTCATGGATGATGCATCTAGGGATGTACACTAACCAACCTGCTTCGAATGCTGGATCTGACCTAGATTTTCCACATGAGTGAATTTTAGCCATATTTTAACCAAATTAGCATGGATGATGTATCTAGGGATGGACACTTCCAGACTTGCCTTGGATTCTGAATCTGATGTACATTTTCCAGAAGAGTGACCAGGGTAATTTTTTTGGAGTAGCTATATAAAATTATGGCCTGTTATGATTAAACTTGCATAGATGGTGCATCTAAGGATGAAAACTTCCAGACTTGCTTTGGATGTTGGAACTGACCAAAATTTTCTTGATTACTAAACAGGTCAAAAGTTTTTTGAGCAGGTCTATAATTAAATCAAACTTGCATGGATATTGATCTTGGGATGTACCCTAACTAGAAAAAAAATATGATGTGAAATTTGCCTTACATGTAGATAACATTCGTCGAGGTGAGCTTCGTAATCTTTGATTACCTATGTTTATGTCTAAGAAAAAAGTTGAAAATGTACATTACTTAAGGTGAATATATATATTGTAGGGTTGAAGTTAATATTTGGAGTTGCCAGACCTCAGACAGTGAAAATTCCAAAGACTCAGATGGATATGTACAAGTAATAGGACTGGTATCAACCGCTGAGATGAGACAAACTGGGAATTCTTTGATAAACTTTTTTCAAGCATTAAGGAAATCTGATAAACACAATAAATGCTCATATATGATTGACATTAATAATTTATTTATAATTTTTTCTCAGTTTGAAAAACAGTAGTTATCACAGAATACTTAGAACAATTGGTCCAAAACAACAATTTGGAACAAAAGGACAAAACATATCAGGGTTTGCTTAATGGTTTTATATCATTAAATCAAATAAAAAACAATTATTGCGGATTTTCAGTCAAAACGATGATTTAGCCACCATCAAAGTACAGTATTCACCTTTCCCTTCAGGCTCAGGCTCAGTGAAAATTGTATTCCTCAAGCGTCTGATTCATCATATTGACCTCAAAAAACTGTTGTTGTGTAGTTTGTATAACCAGTCATACATAACTGGATGATGACCAGCTTATATAAGACACCAGATCTATTGCAAAAGATACATGCAAGTAGAACATAAAATGCCAGTAATTCCTGTATTTGTCATGACAGTGTAGCCATGCATAAGATTTGAATACTTTGAATTTCGTCAGAATTCAGGGCAGAGATACTGCCATGTCCAAGTTGAGCTGATTGGCAAAGGATTGTTCTATATTCTTGAAGAAGTCCTTAAAAAAATCCTCGAACATGTTTAGACAAGGAAAATGATAAGACGGTTAAATAATTATATAAGGCAAAATTGTATTGTGCCACTTTCCGTTTTTTCTTATCTAGTTTGCTTTTATTACTTTCAAGAAAGACAATTCAATCTTGCGCTCTTCAAAAAGTTTATCATGTAAGAGTTGCAATTCTTGATTAATTTGAAACCAGTCTACAAATTTGAAAAACTTATGTACTGAAAATAGATCAAAATCTAAATCCAGTATTAACTATTTTTTGATTTTCAAATGTAGATTTATACTACGTGAAACTTGCCCGTCTCCTTCTGAGAAAAAAATAGGCATGTAGTAGTTTAGGTTTGGATTTACATGTACAATTACCAAAACACCATAATTTGACACAAAAACAGCAAAGGCGTCGGTATGATTTAGATGCATAACGTTAGAGGATATTCAACGGTCCTATTAAACAGAGTACGATAGAGTACTTTAGAGTACGCTAGTAAAATTTAATAATTTAATGCAATTTAACTACTTTTTGTATGTTTTTCTGCTTTAGTTAAACATAATGAATATATATTTTAAATTAGATTTGTATGTTTTCCTAATTTTAGGAGTTATTTCAAATTCTGATTTCAGGTGACGGTTTATCGTTTGATCCCGATCTAATTTAACTTGAACATGTTGAAATGTTTCACTGTTAATGTAAAAAATATTTATATAGGGCAATAAATTTAATTTTTGATAAAATTTAGTTGAAGTTAGTAAGTCTAAAACAAAATATTAATCGAGATCAGAGTGTTAGTAATCTTTAACAGTTTAATGCATTGAATCATGAATGTTATTTTCTTGTCAAAATAGCGCTAAAAACAAATATTTTGAAATAAACATTGCAATATTAGTTTATAAAAAATGTTTAATCAAGTTATATTTACATAAATAAACAATTGAATTACATTAAACTACACATTTTTTCTAGCGTACTCTAAAGTACTCTATCGTACTCTAGCGTACTCTGTTTAGTAGTACCCACCCAAGGATGCTTTGTACCAAGTTTGGTTAAAATTGGCCCAGTGGTTCTTGAGAAGAAGTTGAAAATGTGAAAAGTTTACAGAGGGACGGACAGACGGACGGACGGACGACGGACAACGGGTGATCAGAAAAGCTCACTTGAGCTTTCAGCTCAGGTGAGATAAAAAGTTGGGTTTTTTTTTTATATTGTCTTCTTATCAAATGCAGAAAAATGGTAAGTTCTTTCTAGTTTGAAATCAACATGGCAATTTTCACTGTTTCTTCTCACATGGTACATGTAAGGTGTGAAAAATTCTATACATATAAGGTTTAAATTGTTAGTTGTGTGAAAAGTCTCAATCATAACTGTGTAGACGTTGGAGTTCACAAACTTATTTCCCGATTAAAAAAGATCAAATTAATATATGTGATCATGAGCATACATGTAGGGGCTTGTCTTCTGGATTGTTAAATGTAAAATAAATTAATAAAATTTTTGTATCTACTTTAAATACACTTGAAAAGTTGATACACTAAAGATTCTGACACCTTCAGACAAGAAAAACCATTTAAAAAAAAAAACCGTACCACACTTTTAGGTCAAGGAGTATCATATATCATGAAATGATTTTATCATATGGCTCTCTAGAAGTTAAATTTATGTTATAACTCCACTTTATAATTCAGTACCTTGGAGGAAAAAGAAATTTAAAAACAAAATATTTAAACGACCGAATACTACAAACAAGAAATAATACAAAATCATTTATAGTAATGCATGCGTGTCGGTGAAAAAAAGTATCAAAGTCATGAATCTGGCCGCCACTGAACATTCTTAATTGCATGTATTTCATATGGGACTGCTATGATACTGCAGAGTAGTCCCACAGCAGACCCAAAATGCAGTTCTTGGGGCTTCATTCTGCTGGGACTAATTTCTGTTAGGTTGAGTCTCATTGGTACTTATTTCGCCAAGACCTCAGTTGAACAAGTTTTAAAATACCCCCCCCCCCCTCCCCCCCCCCCCAGAAAAAAAAACAGAAATACGATTTCAATTATTCAGTAAAGAAAAAAAAAACACATGTTCTAACTATAATGTAAGCTCCAATTGTTTCATACAGAGCTCTGAATACTAAATCCAGTAGGTTTAAATAGTCTTAAAAATGGCATAAACCCTCTTGAAAGAAAATCCTCTGACTCTTACCGGTAGTTTGCAATCGGCATCCTCGGATGACTCACAGGTGCTTGCGCCCCCCCCCCCCCCGCTTGGTGTTCCGTACCTCAAGGGTTCTTTAACTTGTTTAAATAAAATATTTTTCTGTGACACATTCACAAAGTTTTACAACTGAAAAATCCCAAATTATGGCCTAAACCTAGCATTTTGTAGATAAAAAAAATCACCCTCTCTGTTTCTTTTATTATCAGCTTGTGTGCGAATTTTTGAATTTTTCTTCAAACTCCTTTTCAACTATCAAAACGTTTAAGATTTTTTTTTGAAATTTAGAATTTAGATTCAAATTTCAAATAACCAAAACACTATTTTTCCATTCTGAATTTTTAGAATTTTACTTAAAATATCCAAAAATATCAAATTTCAAAACCCGATTTGAATTTTGAAACAATGTCTGTATCAATTCAATATTCTAAAAATTCCAAAAGAGTTTTTGACATAGTTTCCAAATTCATATTTCAATATACGAAATCTGTTTCGAGTTTAGAAATGTTATTCCTACAAGTAAGAGCCGGCCTACACTCCTGGCGCGAAGTCAAAAGTATCTCGCATGCTGGAGTGTAGAAATTTGAATAATATATTAAAATTCTAAAACTATGATCATGAATTATTTTAGGAATTTGAATTGTTAAGTGTTACACGGACCCCGTACTTCGGCTAAACTGGTAAATAAAAAATATCTATATCTACAAGTACCATATTTACAGCCAGGGGGTGCCTAATGTACTTTAACTCTGTGTAAGATCAATCTGAGCCTTGGTGCGTCTTCGCAAGCCAAAGATAGTGCCTTTTCAAAATGTGACATGCATGCACATGTACTCAATATTTACATTAACTAGTCTAGTGTGACATTGGACACTGAATCTAAAATAAGTAACACGGAATTCCCCAACTAAATTTCGTTTTTTTTTTTTTTTGTTGTTCACTACATGTATAGCTAAATATTACTAAGTATAAATTGTTATCGATCTGTTTCAGTATGTTTATCTAAATTTTCGTGAATATGTAAACCTATATTTTTTTTTACGACGAATCTTAACATAAGTTAGACTGGTTATGTCTATATCGTACATGTATCAGACAGACAAGGTCAGTCTTAAAAATAAGCTAGTCAAGAAACACCTGCTGTGACGCCATATTATGTAATTAAAATACAAACTGGATAGATTGCTGCTTAAATAGAAATGGGAATGCTGAAACAACATCGTTGCCTTAAGTTTGTCACATAAATATTTTTTTCTGCCTTTTTAGTACATGCGGGTACTAAAAATTGAAAGACAATTAGGCTAAGTAGGATCTAGGTATTTTTTTAAAAAAAATTTCTAATGTAAATTTAACAATTTTTATGCAGGTTTAAAAATAGGTCTGATTTAAAATTTTGACAAATATGATCTTCACCATAATCTGATAATGTGAACATCGTATCAAGACACGATTCGAAGCAATTTCCTATGCAGAGTTGTCGTTCGTTACTCTGTGAATGTATGAGCCGATGGTAGAGAGTGGATTCGAAGTTGGCCAACAACTCTTTCCTTCCTGTGGCCGCTTGGTCGCATAAATATATCGTTATCGTTAATAATCACGCGTTATATGTGATGTCATGTTATAAACCAATGAAAAATGCAATATTATTGACTTTAACAATAAACAACAAATGTAACGCAGAATGCGATTGGATAACGAAAGATCGCATCAAAGGTTAAATATTTTCCGACCATGCTTTAGGCCTATCGCATTGATAAATATTTTAATGAGCTACAACCATGACCGAAACTAGAGGATCGTACATTTTGGCCTTGAATGCGTGTGATTTGGGATCTTCTATCACTAAGTTGGCACACAGGGCCGAGCTCGTCACAATATTATTTCTTGCCCTACGCTATGATAAAATGCACAAGGTAGGAAAGATTTTTAAACAAAATTTTCGATACATCAAATTTTCTTTCGTCTCACTTTTTTTTTCTCGAGTTTTATATTTCCCATTCTAGGTCCCAGATAGCAAGACTACATCGGGCCAACATTGGTTGATTGTTAGTAGGTTGGTTTAGTGTTGGCGTTGGGCGGTAAATGATGGTCCAACATTGGTCCAACGGATGATATGATGGCGTGAAAGCTGGTCCATTGGTGTTGGGTATGCGATGTTGGACCAATGTTGGTCCATTGTAGTAAATGTTGGCATGAAACATGACCATTATATGTTGGGCATTTGATGTTGGCCCAAAGTAGGTCCAACCAAGTAGATGATGGCTTAAAACAAAGCCACTAGCTGTGTGTTGGGATGTAAAGTTGGCCCAACATAGGGCCAACCAAGTAATGTTGACATGAAACATGAAATGTGTGTTGGGCATGTAATTAGTGTTGGTCCAATGTTGGCCCAGTGTAGTTAATTTTGATTATAATGAGGTATTGATATGGCTTTCAACGTTGGCCCAGAGTTGGTTCAACGGAGTGAATATTGGGAAGAAAACAACTTTCATTAACATACATGTAGTCGATCTGTTAATTACACATATTAAATGTGTATCTTTTAGAACCACTTTAAAGCTTCTTTCAATAGAGACATCTCATCTTTCGTTAAAATATTATGAACGAGGGATTATCTTAATAGCCCATTTATTAATAATTTACAGTGTATATGTTAATAAAAACGAAAAATTATTCCAGAACCTAATTTATGAAAATAAGATATTTAATACTGATTTATGTTTGTAATTCGTGTCCGAGACTATTGCAAATACATGTATATAGAAGTTTTAATTATTCTGCACAGTATATAATTTTGTAGGTTCTATATTTAGCATCATGGAACTTAAAGTGCTGAATTTTAGAGCTCCAAATAATTAGGTCAGTGGTGAAATCAACTGGCTCAGCAGATGACTGGCCAGTTTCCTAGGAAACAGTCATTGTTTCGTAAACTCGGAGTGGTCACATCTTATCACTTGCAACACTTGAACAAAGTATATACATCTGTTTTGAATCGCAAGAAAGAGAAAATGGATTGTTTTAGCCCTTGAAATGTAAGTATAGTCGTTTTAGGTGTGATTGATAGAATTTTATCTCTGTGAGTGTTTTAATTTGAGCATAGTTTGTAAAATTGAACATGTTACTAGTATTCAAGAATTGCAATTTTCAAAATATGCAACAGTGGCGTATATTCCATATAGGCAAAAAGGCTGTAGCCTACACATCATTTTCTTAGGGATAAAAAAAATGGTTGGAAAAAAGGAATAAACGATTATAATAATTCTTATCTATTAATTCTATTTTGTTGCAAATGCCAAAATAGCATTCTCAGCAATCCGTACTTTTATACCTATCCAACGTTGACAGTTTTACTATATATTTAATGACAAAACTTCCTATAGTTGGGATTTTTTAAATCCGAAACTCAAGTATTTTATCAAGTCTGTATCAGAGAATTTCAAAATCACCGACAGCAACAGGAGGCCATGATAAGTGCAGGAAATAAAATTAATTTTACTGGAAATAAATATTTTGGTTAGTTAGTAGGAAATTAAATGTATTGATCGTATTTAGATTATTCAGTAAGGAAGTTTCCATATTTTCTAAGTAGAGTAAAAATAAGTTAAAAGTTCTCAATTTTGTTAAGTAGTCTTCATATCATGATATAAACTAAAAAAATGTTTACAATATTATTTTCACTTGTCAAATTGTAGACGACAATCGTATCTATGTCATCTACAATTACTGGAACTATAGTTTTGGTTAGTAGGAAATTAAATGTATTGATTGTATTTAGATTATTCAGTAAGTAAAAGTTCTCAATTTTTTTAAGTAGTCTTCATATCATGATATAAACTGAAACTGAAATGTTAACAATATTATTTTTACTTGTCAAATTGTAGATGACAATCGTAGATGTCTTCGCAAAAAAGATCCCACCGACCCCCCCCCCCCCCCCCCTTTCCCCAAATCCCTATATATCGAGAGGGGGCGACCTTCTCTTTGCCTACCCACATTCTGCACCTCGGGTTAAATCTCTGACTTCTCACTAGCCTACACATTAGCAGATAGGAATATACGCCACTGATGCATGTATATTTACTAGATCTGGTTAAGTTATGATAACTTATAAGTAGTAAGTGACATCATTTTTGAACGGATTAAACTCATATATTTTTTATATCATTTATAGCATCTGGTGGGGAGAAAACCCTTTGTGTTACAAGACCATTGATGGACAGTGAGCGATTTATCTCAATTATCAGTGTGAGAGACATGGAATTTACAGACAAAGGAACAATAACATGAACAGGAAAAAAGGAGCGAATGGTTCAGAAGTAATATGTGGCAGGAGAACATTCCAAAGTTTCACAAATTTGAACAATGGGACTCTTATTCTAGAGGAATATTATATAGTGATTGAAGTGATATGGGATAGACTTGAGAAAACATTGAACTACTTTTATTTCCCTCTGTTGATTTCATTCCATAGGAGTGACAAAAAATAAAACATTTGTTTGTGGAACAAGGTAATTTACCATGCAGGATTTATTCACTCACTTGTGTTTTTTTTTTTTTTTTTTTCGTAATTATGGAAATAAAAAGGTTACAGGAATTCATATTGTTGAACTTAAATAATTCAATCGCCGATCATTTGCCAACATGTTTATAGAACGTAGGGCCAACGTTGGTCCAACATTCATTCTTAGCTTTAAAAAAAAAAATTGAACAAACATTGGGCAAACAGGAAGTTAAACGTTGGGCCAATGCCAGATAACCAACCGTTGAATGTTGTCCCAACGTCGAGCCAACTTGTTGGTTGAATGTTGGGCCGATGAGCAAGATGATGTTGGGTCAACGCATAAAACTGACAAAGGGCCAACGTAATTTTCACCGTTGGGCTTGCGTTGGCCCAACATAAGCTTGCTATCTGGGGTATCAATCCATAATGGAAAGATCACGGTCACTGCAATATTGAGTATGTGCATGTAAAACTGGTTTAGTTTACGATAATCCACGCAGAAACGCGTGCTTCCAGGGCACAGGCACTTGTTTCGGTAATAAATTTTTAACCCATAGTATAATAATAACACAAGGTATCTAACTCCGAATTACACGGAGTACCCCCCTCCCCCAGAATCGCACTCATTTACACTTTCAGAGGAAATACACTGACAAACTGTTAATACCTATGTTTTCTATGATAATTTATCTACACAACCATATATGGCATGCTTGTCTTTATTTTCTTTAGTCTCCGTAAACAGCGTCAAACTCTGCTCGCCGTGTGGAAAAGTCGAATTCATCCATGAAATGGTATGTGCTAATCCCGCACAGAGAACAGAATTAAAAAATAAGTGGGTTTAAAAATTCAATTCCAGTGTTTAAATATTGCATGAGTAAATAGAACTTGTTTACGTCTGATTTTCCCTAAAAACATTACGATGTTTATCCAATGTAATTTTAGAAAAAAATTTTTAGCCAATCAAAATCTCTGTGCGGGATTAGCACATACCATTTCATGGTTGAATTCGACTTTTCAACTCGACGTGCAGAGTTTTGACGCTGTTTACGGAGACTAAAGAAAATAAAGACAAGCATATGCCATATATGGTTGTGTAGATAAATTATCGTAGAAAACATAGGTATTAACAGTTTGTCAGTGTATTTCCTCTGAAAGTGTAAATGAGTGCGATTCTGGGGGAGGGGGGTACTCCGTGTAATTCGGAGTTAGATACCTTGTGTTATTATTATACTATGGGTTAAAAATTTATTACCGAAACAAGTGCCTGTGTTCCAGGGACCTATATACTAAGAAAACTCCAATAAATTTTGGAATAAGATAAAAGAAAGTTAGTATATAGGTCCCTGGTGCTCAGAGCTTATAAAATACTTGTGAACTGTGCGTAATTAAGCTTCGAGGAGTTTTATCACTCATGACACTTTCCTCTCCAAAATAACGATTTAAATTTGGTTTTAGTTAACTCGTACGTGAAGTGTGAAGGTGAAGTTCGAGTAGGAAATTCAAAACGAACGTGACAATAAATGAAGAAGTGTTAATATCTTAGTAAGCGACAAAGCTGATTTTAATAATTATTATCAAAATGAAATTCAGTATGCATTTAAGTATCAATATTTCAGGTGCATTTAGTTTGTGCAAGTGCACTTCCTGTACGAGTTATCTAGTTCCAAAATTAAACTGACCAATAAGAGCGCGCCGATCGGCATATTGGTCGTGGAAAGTGTCAGAGAGGTAAAACTCTTGGAAAGTTTCGGTTTCTGAAAAAAAAAAAATCATTCCCCGATCAATCGATACTTAGAATGTTAAATGTTACATTCGTGAGAAATTAAATTGAGACGAAGAAATGTGAGGTATCGGAAATTTTATAGTTTGATTCCTCCGTAGTGTATTTTATAGTGTAGGGGTGGCTGACAGATTAGCATGGGGTAAACCCACCCTCAACTTCAGTTTTTTGTACAAAATTCTTAAATGAATTATACTTCTTGATCAATATACTTTGTTTAAGCCATGCATTAAACATGTATTGTTTAAATGTGAAAATTTACCTCTGTTTAAGCAATATGGCATCCAAATTTTAAGGGTGCACTTGATTGCGATAAAAAGTGCCGTCACCTTCGTCCGCCGTGGTCAAGGGGACCGCCGAGAGCGGCTGGCAGCTAAAAAAAAATCCCACCAACTTTCATAGTATACTTCTATATATATTTAAACTCCTTTGATTACGTTACAAATTGACTATATATATTCTACATAATATAGATTTTAGAGTTAATACCCAAGTATTTGGATGAAATTGTACATCATTGAAACATTTTACACAATAATAGTTTAGCAAAACCATGAACATTTTATGAGTAAACTTGTATTGAAGTACATGCATTTCGAGACCTATATTAAGCAATGACTGAGAGGAAAGCCTCTGTCAGTAGGCTTTGTGAAATATATAGAGGATATTCAATGTTTGTAGATGAATATGGAATTTACGAGTAGGACAGGATTTTTTGATATTATCACGAGTGCGAATCAGCACGAGTGCGAATCAGCACGAGTAACAATATCAAAAAATCCTGTCTCACGTGTGAAATAAATTCCATATTCATCTACAAAACATTAAATTTTCTTTTTATTACATTTTCTTTGATTTCCCCTTTGCCGCTGTCTTTTCGTAACACACTCTCATAGTCTGTGACGTCATTGTTGAGCGGTTGAGACGTCGTAGCTATAAGCGGTTGAGAGATGATAAACGTTGTAAACATGGATTTTAACATCATATTTTGGAGAAACTTTGGCAGTTTTAGTCTCTGTCAGGATGGTTCATTTTACTCTCTCTATCTTAAAACAGGCCAGGGATTTTTTTTTTAACTCTCTTCGTAAGGGGAAGGAAAATCGAGAGTTTTGCCGCACTTCTGATATTCTCTCACACTGTGAAAATACTCTTTTGATATCTTTCACACTGTGTCAGAATATCACTTTTATTCAATAAATAAATTACATTATTATATAGTCTATAAATAGTCCCTATATAATCTATACAAACGCAAACAGTTCATAATACTACATATTCACTGGATTTGAGGCCGTATTCACCGGAAGGTGAGTGCGCGTGCAGCGGCATTGTGACCTCACAATCAATACCTCAAACAACGTTGAAAACAATGGTTGCAACGGCTGTGTATCTGTACAGGAAAAATGTTGGGTAAGTCTATCGCAGAATTATTTTCCAAACATTTCGATGACTTACACACAGCAAAAGGAAGACACGAAGTGTTAAGCTGTAATCTGGACATTTTTTTTAAATTTTTCGACGACAGAGGTTCGTTATTGAAAATGGTATCTTCATGCAGACTTCGATGTCTTATTTATTCAAAGCCTGACTATATAATAAAACAATTATGGACTCTTTCGGTGGTGAATATGGTTTGTTATTCCCCAGAAAAATATCAATATTGACCTCGGCTTCGCCTCGATCAATATTGATATTTTTCTGGTGAATAACAAACCATATTCACCACCGAAAGAGTCCATAATTGTATAGTATTTCACTGTTGAAAATGTAATAAAAATGGGTTTTAAGAAAATTATCACATATATTAATTTGTTAATTTTATTCGTTTTTGCTTGTTTATTATACAAGAAACATTTTTAGCTTAATGCACTCTGTATTTCGGGTGAAATGTGGGAGCCCCAAATTCCACAAGCATATTAATAAAACATTTTATATTTATTACATGTATCAAACACCTGAAAAACGTTTCTAGATTAAATTCAATCATTTGTATATTTCGATTTTGTCCAAAAAGGCCTTCTCTTTCCGATCTATTTACTTTTTCTGTGTCAAATGATATGATATATGACTGATGATATCTTTCTAATTCGTGCACTTTTTGCTGAAAATTTCCACCTCTCTTCATTTCATCACAATCACACGCTGTAACGAACACTAAAATCACTGCAAGAAAGTAAAAATGCTGTTTATAAAGAATTTTAACTAAAGAAAAAAAAGAAGAAGAAATCAAGTCTTTCTTTTCTGCTCTTAGTCCAGTCTCACCTTATTTTTGGGATGCATAGTGTACTGCCACTCCACCAAGCACGTTCCTCATTTTCTATCCTGAAAAGGTAACTAGATATACACCTATCTTAGTTATCTTAAGTTCAGTGTATCTATTTAAATGTTTATTTTCATTTAAGATAATTGATCTATTTTTGACATACTTTATACACATCACATGAGAAAAAATGCATGAAAATTTAAAAAAAAAAGAAGATAATAATTGCTACTTGCAGGTACTATAGGGCTGTGAGTTATTGTGAGTGCGCTATTTGCATGAAAACGGTGCAGATATTATATATATATATATCACAGGCGCTTGACGTTTTTAACCTTTCTTTCCATAAATAAAAAATCCCCCATACTATAATAATAACAAGGTTCGTCACGGTCGCCATCTTGAATTTTTCAGTTCAGCTACTTCGCCTCGATTTTTAGTCTACAATGTGTTTAAAATTAACGGATACAACCGTTTCCCTCAAGTACTTACTTTAACTATGCCTCCACTTTCGGGCAATTCAACTCAAATCACATTAAATCCTCTCTAATTCTTAAAATGTCGCTTCAAACTCAGTCTTCTGCTACCGATTCCGTAAAACTTAGAAAAGGGAGGCCGGAAGTTGATGTTGTTATGTAAATGGGAAATCCCTCTACTTAAATTTTATTGGTTAAAAGAAATATGACATTTCGCGGGAAAAATCATGCAAAAACAGTAACAAACTTTTTCGACATGTTGAATGCTGAGCAGGCCGATGCTTTCCACAATCATCAGAAATAATATGTGAAATATTTTTTTTTTATTTTGTTGAAGAAAAAATCATGAGGAAATAAAAATTATGCTTGGTCCTGGAATTCTGGTTACTAATTTCTCGTGTAAACCAGACCCCTTGCATTCTGGCATAAATATTTCTTCCCTACAATAGTACTATTTTCAGTGTTTGGAAGCGATGAAAATTATAAAAAAGAAGGATAGA